GCCAATTTCAGGGTCAAGATCCATCTTCATGGAGCACCGGGCCCCTGCCCAAATGAAACCTAGGCTAGAGCTTCAGATGGGGGGCTAAAATGTCAGCGTGTGTGTGTGTGTGTGTGTGTGTGTGTGTGTGTGCGTGTGTGTGTGTGTGTGTGTGTGAATAAGCAAATGCTGGGGCCAGGGTTTGTGACCCAAGTATCTTGGTACTGGAATGCTAGAGCCATTCCAACATGAAAAGCAAGAATAGAACCGTGCTTGCTGGTTTAAGATCAAATCTCAGAACGGTGGTTTAAAGAATTGTTTCTTCAAAAGAAAGTTTGAAGGTAAAACCTCAATAGGCAAGACAGATAAAAGCAGAGTTGTTCTGTTAAAAATGGGAATGGGGTGAGGGCTAGAGACCTAGCCTATGCCTCCACTCCTCTCTTCCCACTTTACAGCCCCTGACAAAGCTCTGTGGAACACCAGGGGTTCCACAGCACCTGGTTTGAAAACCACTGTGTTAGAGTGTTTACAGATCATGGGTCCTAGGGACCTGTGCTTTGATTTCTGTTTTAGGGTGAAGAGTTGGGATAGAGTGTTGGGGAAGGAGGATACTCCCCTTTCAATAGGCCTCTCTTTGAAGCTACTGTGCAATGTCCCTGCAAGGGAGTATCAGAGGCGGTGATCCTGCCCCAACAGGTAGGCCATTTCAGTCCTGGAGGGAGGGCAAAATGATGGAGCTGCCTGGGCCACGATAGCAAAACACCAGGCCCAATGCGAGCTTATGCATGAGGGTGAAGAGAGTCTGTTTTGGTCCTTGTTGACTTTAAAAAGTGTCAGAACAGGTATAGGCCTATGCCCATGAGACCCTATAAGAGTTCAAGATTGGGGCCTTATGCCTTCCTCCGGAAGGGGTGGAGAATGTCCAGTCCCCAGTCACTGGAAGGAGAGAAGCTGCCTTGGTGAGTTGCTGAAACCACTGGGGGATGAGTCAGCTGGGGCTCAACTCACAGCATTTTCCCTGAGCCCGAATTCCTCCCAAGTGTCATCAAGAGGCATTGGCAACTGCAGCTGACCCTAGAGGGGGCCTTGTACTTTGAAGGGAAGGGGCAGGCAATTTCTATTCCACCTCACCCTTGCGGTTCTTTGATGGAGTAGTGATTCCCTAACCTGGACCTGAGCCAAGGCTTCCTGGCCTCTGTACAGGCTGAGAGATGGGAAATGTGGGTGACACTGAGCCTGGGAAGGTCTGAGATGGCACCTGTCCCAATCAATGACAATATCTATATCTCGTTTCTCTGTCTTGGTTGCTGGGACCACTATCCGTGGGCATGGCATTCTTGAATAGTATCTCAATTTCCCTCTCAGCTGGGTCACCAAAGCCAGATTAGATGCATCTCATGCTGGTTGATACCCATCTAAGAGAGAAGTGGGCAAGAGATGAACAGCGGTGGGAGGAGAGCTCAGCCTACAGCAAACTCCTATGTCACCTTGTGCCACTCCCCCAAAGTGGTAGGGCCAGGGCCATGCAGCCATTTGCAATTTACAGGACTGACTTTCATCTCCACTGGCTTTCATCCTTCTGGACCTCACAATTCCTTGAGCTATGTGGGGAAGAGATTACTGTCCCATTTCTCTAGTCAGAGAAACAGGGCCCAAGAGGTTGAGCGACGTGCACAAGACTACTCAATTGGTTGGTGACAGCCAGGACTGAGAGGCATTATGGACTTCCAGGGCAGTGTGCTTTCCACCGCACCATGTGGGGACCAGCTTGTCAGTAACTTTTCCAGCTGAACCAACACCCCAGGTGAGCCCGCTGTCACCTGTCTGGGCCCTGGGGCTGAGGAAGCCTGTGAAGTCCTACCAAATAACCCAATCCTTAATTTCTCATAGTTGGCCTTCTGCCTGGGGATTTTCACTCAAGACCATGCTCTTCCTTCCTGTCTAGACTGCTACCTACATGCCACCCTCATGGCCCACTGGAAAGTCCTGGACACAGTGGGCTGGTGCCTGGGGCCAGTGGGGCTCCCCAACCTCCAGTTTCACTCCGAAGGCTCACATGCCTCCAAATGGAGAGGGGCCCTGCAGAGAAGCTTTCAGTCATGTTGGGGGAATACAGGGGGAGTGGGGTCTGGAGTCAACCGGAAACTTGGAAAGATGATCTGGTCCTTTCTCTCGGGGAGAGGCCAGAGGAAACACTCCGGGCCTGAGTGGCCTCTGGGCTGCAGCTCTTGGCTGTCCAGGAGGGTGCCTGACCCAGGGGCAAGTGGAGCTAAACTCCAGGTTGTGCGCCATTCACAAAGCTGTACATTCGAATATGGGCTGAGTCCACCTGGAAAGGGCACTGTTTCTAATTCACATCAAGGCACTATATGGACTAGCAGCAGCCACGGAGCCCTGAATGCAATGGCCCCTTATTCTTCCCCTCATGACTTTCCTCAGACCATGAACTTCCTGAGGACAGGGGCTAGGACTGACCCATCTATCTCTTTGTCTCCAGTGCTTGGCACTGAGCAGAGAAGTTATCAGCCAAGGATGGTTAAGCCAAATTCAAATGAACTTGTCCACTGCCCTTCTGTAGTCCTGTGCCCAAAGAGTAAAGAGCTAGACACGGCTATAATGCTTTCTACAGCTGGAAAATTCTCAGGTAAACGCTGGGATATACCCAAAAGGGTGAGAGAGATGTTAAGGGGAAGGAGGCTCATGAAACCAGCCTGACAAGTCTTGTGTGCACAAGTTAAGGATGGAGCGGGGGAGGTTTATAGGGGAGTGATTATCTCAAATTCTAAAGGATCTTGTACCAGCCACAAAATTTCCAGAGGAAGACACTGGAGACCATATACTTATCGTGCATTGTTCTAGCATTTCATCAACTCTAGAGCTTCCCGATGAGGTGCAAAGTGCCCTGCAAGCTCTCGTAGGGGCTGGATGCCCAAGGTACCTGCAGCTAGGATCCCAGAACTGGCCAGGGGAGTGTGACTGTCCCGAGCTGACTTGGTCCCTACCTAGGGTAAGGGTCCCTAGGATTGAGTCTTCATGATTTTCAGAAGGGGAGGGCTAAGGTGCAGTGCCAAGCATGGGAAATAGTTGCCCAGTCCACCCCAGGAGGGGCTGGACTGAAAAGTGTTGAGATTCAACTTGTATAGTAAAATTTGTTGTCTCCCTTTTCAGACAAGTATGGGATAGAGATAGAAGGGAGCAGGAATTAAGAGAGCCCCTTGCCCACAAATCAATATACTTGCTTGAGTATAAGGTAAACTTCAGGAGTCTGCATCCACTGGGGGCTGAGAGCTATTGGAAATATTATCACAAGCCCCTCCTCCCCGCACCCATGCCTCAGACAATACAAGCTCTGTCCTTTTGTAATACTTGGGCCCTAGGGCCGAGCAGCTCATACTAGCTGTGGCCACATCTTGACATCAGGCAACCCTCCAAGGGTCCAAGAAAGGCCCCTTCCAGGCCCGGGGTTGGGGGTAGGAGCTCCCCACGGCCCTGCCACCTCTAGGTCCAATGAACCCTCATTGGAGGCAGACAGAACAGTCAGTGGCTCTGGCTCCACCCACCAGACCAGAAGCTTTAATGTTTACAAATTCTTAGGGGCCAGAGCTGGGGGGCCCTTTGTGATCATCCAGTCAAACCCCTTTGTTTTCTAGGTGAAGAACTGGGACCCAGAGAGGGAAAAGAACTTGCCCAAAGCCACACAGTAAGGGAGCATCAAAGGCCATTCGAGAATGGATACCTCTGAACACTTTTTACTATATCAGCTGCCTGCCCTGTTGCCCTGGAAACACCCCAGGTCCCAATCACACTAACACTAGCCAATGGGTTCTGGGTTCCCATGACACTGGGAACTACTTGGGGGGGAGGTCATTAACTCCCCAAGTAAACAAAGGGTTTTTGCTGCTCAGCAGCCCCCTTTCTTTTAGGTGAAGGCATCTGATGTACCCTGCCACCTTCTGGGGAAGGACCGCCTTTTGACCGTGGGCCTCAGCCACTCTCTCCCAGCCTTCAGGGCCAGCGCAGTCCAGCCCTGGAGAACCGCAAGGGGAGGCAGGAGGACACGGGTGGACCAGCCCCTCTGGACCTCCAGCCTTATTTCTCATAAGGGATCACTGACTGCTCTTAAGTCCACAAAGGAAGAGAATAGGGCTGGTTCTCACCTTCTCGCCCCGCCCCCACCTCTCAGAGCCACCTTTCAGGAAACCTCTGGAGCTTTGGCTCACTCTTCTGAAGACCCCTCCCTTCTCTGTCTCTGTGCATATTTACAGATAGAACACACGCATAAGATACAATGTAACTAGGAGGTTACATCCTGACAATACTGAAATAGACTTGAGCTAGTTCACACAGTTTGCCTTAGACTAGGGAACTGCTGGTAAGAAAGTCAGTCCAGTTACCTTTCTCCACTCTCGGGATCTATACCAATGTCACTGTCAAACACAAGGGTAGGGATGGGTGGAAGGGGAGAGGTGTTTGGTGGGTCAGAACTACAAAAGGCATTGAGAATCTATTCATAGTCTGCCTTCCCATCCGGAAGAGGGTGGCCTTCAGCGTGGTCATCATTGAGCTGCCAGACTGCATTAAACACCTAGGACTGTGGACATCCCTCACTTGTCTTGAGCCCTCATTCCCACCCCTCCAAGCCCTTGTGCCCCATCCTCCCCTCTCTGCTCCCCATCCCAAGTCAAATTCCAAGGCCAGAGCCACGGTGGCCTTTCTTGGGG